CACACAGAAGGCGCTGCTGGTCATTCCTAGGGTATTGGAGACCATCACTGCCTTGATGTGTGGCTGTGAGTAGAATCCAAATGAATCTAAATGATGTCACCGTGTGTGAGTGGTTTTCAGCACTGCACCACCTTGGTTAGAGTGATGTCTGGAATATGATTTCCTGAGAAATTGTGATCGTTATTAATGGGCATTTAGAAAAAATTGCCATGTACAGTGCCTATTGCTGTTGTCCACACAGAAACAGCTAATATATAAAAGTTGTCACTCATTATATCTCCTATTTCTGAAGAATTTGGAGAATGATGAATGCTATTAAGGAAATGATATAATAGCAGTTGAAAAATGTCATCAACAGTGTAATAAGAAGTAAAGCCATGAATTCCAAAGAAGGTGATTATGTTTGACGGGAAGTGGAGTAAGAGCAGTTTGAAGCACTTGGGCTATGTGTTCACCTGTAGCACAGATGAGTGCTGACATATGTGGACATTTAGTGGGCTTAAAGATCCAAACAGTTCTATGTATACCTGTATTCACGTTCTGTTACAGGAACAAATTACCACAGACTTCATGGCTTAAGACAACGGAAATGTATTTTTGTAGTGTTCTGGAGGCTATAAGCCCAATGAACCAAGAGAACTAATATCCAGGTCTTGGTGGAAAGGGTTCCTTCTAGAGGCCCAGGAGGCTCCATTCCGCAGCTTTCTGCCATGTGGTGGCTGTGGCATCCCTCAGTCAGCCACATTACTGCTGTCTCTGCTTCTGTCACATTGCCTTCTCCTCTTCTGTAGCCAAATTTTGTCCTGCCTCCTTCTTATACAGACACCTATGATTACACCTGTGATTGCATTAGGGCTCACACAAATAACCCAGGATACAACTCTCATCTCAAAATCCATGGTGTAGTCCCATCTGCAAAGCCTCTTTTGTTGCATAAGTTAACATTCACAGGTTCTCGATAGCTCTGTGGGCCATTGTCCGCTTACCATCACACCCACAGTAGTGAGATTTTAATACAGAATATTATTCTAGCTAGGGTCTTTTAAACATGTTTCATTTAGAAGACATTATTTTGTGTTTTAATATTAAGAAGTTCGTAGTTGGCTTTTAATTGGCCATTTTTCTCTTGCTAATTGTGTCATTAGTATTTTTCTAAAAGTAATTCTTTAATTTTGTGCCATCTGTAAAACAGATTGACATGGAACACATTTATAGTTGGAGGATTTTGACTTTATCATAGTTTTCCCCTTTTTAATGTTTAAGAAACTATTATTTGGAGATAACGTTATATTTCTAAAATAGTTGCAAAAATGAAAATAGTAGAAAAAACCTTACAGATCCTTTACTTACATTCACCAAATATTAACCTTACCCCATTTGCTTTATATTTTCTCTTTTTCTGCATGTGTCTTTGACATTGGTATTGTTAAAAATATAGATGTTCTGGTTTAGATCTAAAATGTCCCCCAGAAGTCTCAGGTTCCCAGGTGGGCCCAGCCAGCAGGTGGGTCACTGGGGTATAACGTGGGAGGGTGTGTTCCCCTCCTCTCCTTCCTTTGCTCTCTGCTTGCTGGCCACCATGGGGTGAGCAGCATTCCTCTGCCACCCTTTCTGCTGTGCTGTTTCTGCTGTGCCTTGGAGCCAGCGACCAGGAACTGAATCCCATTGGAAATTGAGCCAAATCAACTTCTCCTCCTTTTAGTTGCAGGTGTTGGATATTTTGTCCCAGCAACAGAAAAGCTGACTGATACAACAGACCTCCTCCCTCCTTTATTTTCCATCAGAATTTTTAAAATTTGGATATACTATAAGCCACATACCATGCACTTTCTAAAGTGAATAATTCATTGGTTTTGTTATATTCATAACGTTGTACAACCAACACCATGTCCTAATTCCAGAGCATTTTCATCATCTCCAGAAGCAACCCTGTGCCCTTAGCAGTGTTGCTCATTCCATCCTCCCCCCCTCCTGCAACCACAAATCTACTTTCTGTTGGTTTGGGTTAGCCTTTTCTGGAAAGTTCATGTAAATGAAGCCATACATTGTGCAACCTTTGGTGTCTGGTTCCTTTCATGTAGCATAATTTATTTTTTCTTTGGTACCGGGGATCGAACTCAGGACCTTACACTTTTGAGGCAGGTGCTGGAACCACTGAGCTAAATCCCCGGCCCTCATGTAGCATAATGTTTTCAAGGTTCATCTGTATTGTGGCATGGATCACTACTACTTCATCTTATTAAGTGCTGAATAGTATCCCAGTGTATGGATTAATAATATGGCTGAATAAGCTCTTTCACTTGGGTATATACTGTATTTTGTTTAGCCACTTACCATTTGACAGACATCTGGATTCCTTTCCTATTTAGGCTGTTATGAATAATGCTGCTATGAACATTTGTGTACAAGTTTTGATGTTCATGTGTGTTTCCAGCTCCCTTGGGCACACATCTAGGAGAATTCCTGGATTATGTGGTAACTGTCTACTCATTATTTTTAGTTTCTTTTCTTTGGAAATACGGGGCAGTGATTAAGGGTGAGGTGGCAGGTGCTTTTTCAATTCTGGATGTGCTCCCAGAGATGTAATTTTGAGGGTAACTTCAAAGCCTGGCACAGTCTTCCTGTCTTGACCTAAGAATGAAATCCTGAGGTGAATTGAGTTGGCAGCATAGTTCTTTTCCTTTGCGTTTGGTGGTTTCAGTGCTTTTACTTCTCTTGTTCAGAAGAGAGATTGTTGGCAATTTTAATTATTTTAGGAGGTAGGAGTGCTTGTTCATCAAGATTTTACTTCTCATTATCTAATGGTTTACAAGATCTAGGAATCCATTCAACAAATACTTTTTTCATCTTTTAAAATATAATGGAAAAAATGAAACTAAATGTAGCATTAGTCATATTCCTTTAAATGAAAGAAAATGTAAAATGATTTTTGTCAGTATAATTGTTTTGAATGTTATGGTAAATCCAGACAGAGACATGAAAATAAAATATGTTTATATATTATTTTAATATCTATAAATGCTTGTTTCTACCTAATGGGAAAAAGTGAAAATTTTAGTTTCTATTTCAAGCTTCTTTAATCATAGGTGGGAGATCTTTAAGTATCTTAAGAATCTAGCCTGGTGTGGCAGTGCACACCTATAATCCCAGCACTTGGGGGGCTTGAGCCAAGAGTATCACCATGAGTTCACGGCCAGCCTGGGCTACATAGTGAATTCAGGACCACCTACATAGCAAGACCCTGTTTTCAAACAAACAAACATCTTAAAAATCTAAAGAAATAAAAATTCAATCAAAAATAAGAGTGAGAGCAAGACTTGCAGAATTCTGTGAGATAATAGAAAAATGTGACCTTTAATTTTAAGACTATCAGCTACAAGGACTGTGAGATCAACTCTATCTTTAAGTCCATACTAAACACAATATATATTAGAGTTATCAGGAAGAATCCCAGGAATATCTTGGCTGAAATCTTGATAATAAAATTTTGATCAGCTAAAATGCACCAGAAATGCTTTGGGAAGATAAAACTGTTGAAATAAAGGCTATATAACTTTGAACCATAGGGAGATTTAGAATTAAGTATAAAATATTTGCAAATAAAATTAATGAATTAATAGCTTAATGCTAAAGAGACAGTGCATACTTATGTACTTGTAACATTGCCCATATCTAGTTCCATTTTTAAATTTATAATTGATTTTTCTTGTGATTGTTAAAGAGAAATTTTACCAAATTTGTATACATTATTTGAATATTTCTTAAAAATTTGTTACCAAATTTATATACTTATTAGTTTTGTAAAGATTACTTGAAAACTTGTGAGATAGTGAACTATTTAAGTAAATAGAATGTCATAGATTTTTTTTCAATAGGATCAAATATTCCAAGCTCAGTGTTTGGCTGGATGCTAGACACTGAAAGTGCAGTGTAATGAAGGGCTCAATTGTTTTTTCTATAAGAATGCTGGACTTTATTCTTGTGGGCAGTTATTTATGGATTAGCTCAGGCTTACAAGGCCTACTCTGAAGTTACATTGGGGCAGATGGACAGCAGACATTATTCTAGGGTGAGCCCTGCTACCAAGATGGCATCTTTCTCAGGTCTTAACTGAATACCTCTGGCATCTGCAGGAGTTAGATCTGGACTGACTTCCTATGTAAACTTGGGATTTTGTAGTTTACGCCTCCCGGATTATGTGGAGCATCCTGCCCTTGCATAGCTTTTCATGCAGTTCTCAAGTGCTGTCTCTAATAGTTTCCTTTCCTTCAGTGTTCTGCCATGTGAATCCCTCTGCCTCAGCCTGGTCTGCAGAACTCTTCCCCCCCACCCCACCCCAGAGCTGTGATCTGTCCATTGTGTTTGGTGGGAATCCGAGCTATTGGAGGCCTCATACCATTTCTTCCCCTTCTCTCAGACGTCATGCCATGCCTGTGTGTCTGAAAACAGCTCAGATACATACACACACACACACACACACACACACACACACACACACGTAAATCCTCCAGCCATTTCTGAAAGCACATTTAAGATTTTGTTTAGAGATGGCATAAATCATGCCTATAAATACGACAAATGACGGAGCCCAAAGTCAATGAGGAGAGAAGTTTCTCTCTCTAGAAAAGTATAACAGGAATGGAGAGGGAGTAACTGTGATCAGGTAAGACATCTGCTACAGGGTAGTAGCACAGAAACTTGGCATTCTGTTAAATGGTAGCTTTTTACTATGGTTCTTATTAACTCTGTTGTTACTATTCTCATGTGTGCCATGTAGCTATAATAAATGTTTGTTGAATTAACGTATTTGTTTTTAACCACATTATTTAATTTTAAAACTTTACTTACAGTACTAATTTGTCTGAAATTTATCAAAAATATGAGGAATGTTAATATATTTGATAGTATTATATCACCTGGTAAAATTTTACTGTTGGTAATTTAGATTTGCTACTTGGAGGAAGACAGATTGAAATGCTGTCCCTTTTTCTTAATTTTAGAGACCTATTACTACATTTCTCCATTAGTTGGAGTCTTTTTCTTGGCTCTGACTCCTATTTGGATTATAATAGCAGCCAAACATCCAGCTACAAGGACAGTTCTGCACTCAGGCTGGGAGCCCGTCATAACAGCTATGATCATAAGCAGGTTAGTATTAGAGTGTGTGTGTAGGCGCGTGTCTGTAATGTGCATGTGGAACAACTTGCCTGGTTTTTTGATTAACCATTTTATATGACCGATTCATAATTCTCTCAGGTAATAAGGGATCAGAGTTACAGGAGTTGCTGAAATTAATGGATATACTGAAATTTGAATTGGCTACCAGTTTCACATTTCTCTCCAACCAAAGACTTACCAGATTGATAAATAAAATTCAATGGTATGTGTATGTGTGGTGATAACCTGACAAGGACATTACTTATTTTGAATAGCAAGTTGCGCTAGTAAATACCAGAAAGCCTTAGAGATGTATAGGCCATTTGACCAGTTCCACATCTAGGATGCTGAGAAATTTAAGCATATAATTAAGAATGTATGGATAAGATTTAGTTGCAAGAATCCTCATTATATTGGAATTTTTAATTTTAAAATGGAAAAATTAAAGGTCTATCACATGTTGATTAAATAGTTATATAGTCTGAAAGTGTATGATTAGTCTTTAAAAGTAACACTGCAGCATTTCTTTTGCCACGAAAAGACGTTCAATGTACATTTGGTGAAGCGGGTAATCAAGAAATGAGTATGAATGTCCTCTTAAACTTGGTAAGTTGAGACATGTTTATCTTCTTCCCTGAAACTACTAAAATGATTATAAAAGAATGAAAATGCTATAAAACCATAAAGACAGAAGGGGAGCAGAAAAGACATTATGTGAGAGATATAAAAACTATAGAAAGATAGGCATCGGGTGGTTGATCAGTACACAAGCAGAAAGAGAAAAGGGGGAAATTAACCAGTGTCAGAGGCATGCTGATCTGAACCTCAGACACTGGGACAGGTGGACCATCTAGCACTGAGTTCTGAAATCTGAGATGAAGAAGATGGGTTGGAAGCTTAAGCAAGGAGCAATCAGATCCCTAGAGCCATTCTGCAGCCTGCACACCCGGGTGAGCGCCCTTCTGCCTTTTCAGGTTGACCTGGGGACGGCTAACAGACCGCTTCACAGTTCCCAGACCCTGTGTAGGTCAGGATGAGAATTAAGCACTCAGTGAAAGATATAAAGACAAACTGGAAGTCTACACATTGGACGATGAGAACCTTACCCCACTTACTTTGCTTGTATACATAGAGCACTGGCAGACAGGTTTCTACCCCAGGAAGAAATTAGACAGTTCCTTTGGGGAAACTCAGCAGCACAAAAGCAAAGATCTGTAGAGTTCGAGCCTGCTCGGTCCGTTAGTGCAAGAGCCTCACACCCACCTGATTGTTCCTTAATGTGACGGCACTTGGTGACCACCTCTACCTGTCTACACCGAGAGCTCTGAGTACACTTCCAGTGCTCTGGAAGGAGAGGCAGGCAGCAGAGGAGCATCAGACGTTTGGGGTTTGGTGGAAGATGGACAGAAAAGGTACTCAAAGGAAGGGCAGGGGTGGCTGAAAAACCTCAGCAAACACTGTAGAGTCATTTTCCTCAGAGAGGGACAACTATAGCATCCATAATGTAAGGACAGGATATTATAATGAGAAGTTGAAAAACAAGAGCTTTGAGGAATTTAAATAAATAGCAGAACAGTAAGTAAAGTTGGAAGATAAAGAATGTAGACTACAATATTGGAATATAGAATATAAATATAGAATATAGAATAGAAATAGAATATAGAATGTATTGGAATATAGAATACAAAACAGAGGTGGACAGGAGGAGGCATATGACAAGCAGAGAAAATTATCAAAAAATCAATGTAAGAAAATTCTCCAGAACTGAAGACATGGTTTCCAGATGGAAGGGCACCATAAGCCACAAAAGCTTCCAGAGGAAAAACAGAGGAAGTTACCTATGAAGGACTAGGAATCAGAAGGACATCTAATAGGAACACCAAAAATGATTTCTACAAAGTCTGAAGGAAAATTATTTTGGACATAAAATACAGTCACAGTATTAGACAAGATTAAATAAATTTTCAGACAGGCAAGATCTCATCAAGTGTACTTCCCCTGTGTCCTTTCATTTAAAGCTGATTAAAAGTGTGTTCTGGGGCCGGGGTCTTAGCTCAGTGGTTTCGCCGCCTGCTGCGCAAGTGCAAGGACCCAGAACCAAAAAAAAAAGTGTATTCTAGCAGAGCAAGGACAAGGACATAACTCAAGACAGAAGACGACACAGGAGTAAAGAATCCCATCCCATGACAGCAGGTGGCTCTTTTCTGTCATATTGATTGCTTTTTCCTGGAGGATTCCAGTGACAAGGTCCTAGGGTTCACAGATCAGGGTCTAGCAGTGGAGATGGAGGAAGAGGCAGGGTGACAGTTGTGCCCAAGGCTAGGGACCAACCAGCCCTGCCACCAGGAGCACCATGCCCTAGGGAAAGGGGATGCTGAGAAGTGAAAACACTGGAACCAATTAACTACAGGATCCATTTGGTATACTGAGAGGCCTCCCATTAGCCATTACACACTTGAGGCTAGATTAGTAATAGATACCTAAAAAAGGTGGAGAAATCTGAGGCAAAGAAAAAAGTCCATGTGAGGATATCGAATACACTTTGTGGCTAAGCTGTGAATACGGCTTCCACTGTTACAATAAAATCAACCCCAAGTATTTCACCGTCGATCGCAATAGAACCACAGGAGCAGGAGGGGAGGAGGAAGGGCTGTGTGAGGCCTGGAGCGTGGAGGGAGGGGCACGAGACCAGACCCTCATCTGCTGCAGTCAGAAGTCCTTGGACACGGTCTAAATGAAAAGTGACACACAGAAGTGTGAGCATGTCGCTGAGAAGCAGAGTTAAATGTCAGAGGAAATAGCCAAAGAGTAGAAGAAAATGCCTGCTGGAGCAAAGAATCTGGGAATGGATTAGGTACTATTCTATTCTAGACTTTGTGGTAGTCACTTTTTCAATAACGTTCATGTGTTGGTTTGATAAAAACAAGATTTAATAAGAAAGAAAATGACACACATCTTGATTCAATTTTTACTTTTAAAAATACACATATTAAAAAATATCTGGGCCTGGGTTTAGAGCTGTTGGTGAAAGCATACAAAATTATAATTAGATGGGGTGAGTTCTAGAGGTCTGGTGTACAACATGGTCTGACTGTAGTTAATAAGAACACATCGCATTCTTGAAAGTGGCTCAGAGTAGCTTTTAAGTGTTTTCACCACTCACTGAGTGACAGTATTGTGATGCGATGCATATGTTAACTAGCTTGATTTTGCCATTCCACAATGCATGCATGCTTCAGAGCATCATGTTGTACAGGATAAATTAGACAATTTTTGTCAATTGAAATAAATAAGTAAATAATAAAATAAAATATGTAATAAAAATATCTGGAAAGTCATATGTATGGATATCATATACAGTGGTGCCTCGGTTCACAAACTTAATTTTTTGTATGATTTTGCAGAAGATGGACCACGTTTGTGTGGGAAAGATGGCCACAGTTGTGTTCATCACCCGATGCAGATTTTGCAAACGAAAACAAAATTTGCCAAATGCTTGTGTTTACAAGCCAAATTATTTGCAAACAAAAGCATTTGTGAACCAAGGTCCACTGTATATGGATCTCACAAATATATACTGAATTATATGTATGTATGTATATATCTATGTGTGTTATATGTATCTCTCTTAACATGCTAACTGTATGAACCCTGACTGATGTAACTAGAACCAGTTTTTATTTTCTTCTTTTTATTTGATTTTGTAATTTTTTCTATAACAGGTTTTACCTCAGTTACAAAAATATTTTGAAATGTATTTTTAATAAGTGTTTATGTATCCATAGCATTATCTATGCATTTTGGCAGGGAGATTTTATTCTTTGACTCATAAGTAGTCTGTTCTTGAAATAAATATATTACTTTAAAAATTCAGGCTTAAAATACTAAATAATTCAAGCTGGGGGTATAGCTCAGTGCTAGAGCCTTGTCTCACAAGGATCTGGGTTCAATCTCTAACACTGCAAAAGAAACAAAAATCCTGAGTATTTCTAAGGAAGACTGTTTTGGGGCTCTACAGTATACCTTCTTAATAATTAAAATTTATTTTACTAAATAATTAATAAAGAAACAATAATTTTCTAATGTTAACTATCAGGTAGTGATAAGAACATTTGATCTGATATTTTAACAATCCCATTCTGTGATAGCATATGGTTCATTCTGCTGTAATGTAGATCACGTTTTCCTGGCAGATTTAGGCAACAGGATCCCATGCAATATTGGAACTGACCATGTTTTTTAACTTAGACCAGCAGACTGACGTTAACCAATTATTAACTGACATTAATAATTGTTTGGGAAACTTGAGAAAAGACTCCAAGTCCCATTGACACAGTGAGCGCGCATGGCTTACCACTGTATTATATTGAAAATAGCTGCGTGTTATTTTTCTAGACTTTTCCAGATTAGCTCTGTAGTCAAATGACCTGGAACTCCCCACATAGCCCAGGTTGCCTTGGCCTCCTAAGCACTAAAATTACAGGTATGTGTGACCTTACCAGATGCAGTTATTATTTTAATTTACCAATGATAAGACACATCTTAACTATATCTAGTTTCAACACAATAAAAAATTATCTCTTTGCCAGGTGTTGTGGCTCAGGCCTGTCATCCCATACTGTGTAACAAGTTCAAGGCCAGCCCGGACAACAGTAGCAAGACCCTGCCCCAAAAGACAAACAATAACAACCCCCCCAACAAAGTCTGTTTCATTCCTTAGTTACTTCAAATATGAAAAAATATTCTTTTATAATTATTTTTAAATTAGAAGATGAATAGATTAAGTGACTTAAAAATCAATAAGCAGACTCTAAACTGATCAGACTATAAAGTGATCATTAGTTCCCAGTCAGTCTCACTCCCTAGAAATAAACATGGTTAATAATTTCGCATGGTCCTTCCAGACATTCTAATGCATTTAAAGCATATACTCTTTCCTTTCACAGGTAATATATCTCAGAGTCCTGACCTCTGGGGCTATAATTGAAGTCATGTTTTGTTTTCAGCTTTTTACTCTTTTTTTTTGTTTTGTACCAGGGATCAAACTCAGAACCTTGCGCTTGCAAGGCAGGTGCTAGAACCACTGAGCTAAATCCCTGGCCCTCCAGCTTTTATTCTTGACATTGATTTTTACTTTGAATATTTTTCTTTATACTCTACTTAAAAAATATGTGAACATTTTATTTTACAAAGTAGGGGTATATGTATGTATATACAGAACAACTTCAAGTACTTTCCCCTTCCATAAATTATGTAACTTTATTTTTTTCAGCATTGGGGGCCTTATTCTGGACACAACTGTATCTGACCCAAACTTGGTTGGGATTGTTGTTTACACACCGGTTATTAATGGTAAGAATTAGGTATAAGTCTTTGTTTACTCTGAGGCACCAATAGTCTTAGGGCTCATTTTTAAGAAGTCTGTCTTCCCATCCCATCCATTTCTCTCTCTAACCCCGCTTTGCTATACAGAGTAGAAATTACATTCCCTGGTCTCTGAATGTAGCATATGTTTTTGGAAAGGGTGGTTTCTTAATCTTATCATTAGATATTATTTTGGCAGTCAGGTATCACCTGAGTTTTAAAGCTGGTATGGGAAAATGTTATCTCAGATCTTAATTATCCTTTGCCTTGGACTTATTTGCTATCATGAATTGTTTTGTTGCTGCTTTTGCCAATTGCCATGGATAAATTAGAATCATTGGGTCTACCATGGCTTGAATCAACTCATTTTATTAAAAGCTGTTGTTCTGCTGATCTCTTTAAAATCTGCCTTATATATTTTGTTATCTATAAAAAGGGAATTATAATACTTAAATTCACAGGAATTTTTCTATGAATTACATTTACTGAGATGATTTCAATTTAGTCCTACTGGCTACTGGCTATCATTAAATTGGATTTTAGTGTAACCTAGATAAATGATAGTGAACCTTTCAGAGCTTTCAGTAATTCAAACAGACTGCTGCGGCATGCATGTTGTAAGTTTGCCCACCACTAGTCTAGATCAGTATAATTTAAGAAGTAATTTTACCTGGGTAAAAATCCTGTCACAGCATATACTTAACATTTAATATGAATTGCTTCTGTATATTTACTTAAAATTTTATATAAAGGCAAGCTCTGTAGAAATCTAATCTCATATCTAAAATTTCCACTGAGCTTTTAAATTTTTGTCTGCCTTAAGAATGCACAAGAACACGCTTCCCTTCTAGGCCCCACCCAAGGGTCCTGAGCCAGCATTTCCCTGTCACCCATCCTTAAAATCATGGAACCATCTGACTCCACCTGGCTCTTCTCCTCCTCTTTGACTAGAAAATGACCAGAGCTGTGCTCACATGACTGGCTTGTTCGTTCATTCGTGTGACCAGCATGGCTTGCCATTGTAGTCTGAGTCTCACCTCAGCCTCCAGACAAGTAATAAAGCTCCCTGACTCAGCCCCTCACCACTAAAAGACCAGTCTTCCTTAAACATTGTTTTTGTGATGTCAGGAATAAGATAAACAGTGGTTTTCTCCTACATATCAAGTTGGAATTTCGCTGTCTAGCTTTCAAAACCCTCTACTATGCTGTTGGACCCGAAGCTTTTTCTGTGTTCATTCTGACTAGAGTCTGGTGCTGTCCCTACAGAGACTGTCTGATTTTCACTGCCTGGCAATACCACCACTCTCCCTCTACTTGTTCAAATTCCCTTCAGTGAAAGTTAGTTGACAAAGTGATCAGTGTAAGTATCAGCCAGTAATGGTTGTTACAGCTGTATCGAACATTTCAGAAAGAAATTTACCCTAGACTGCAGCCAGCCCTTTAGGTAAGGGCTATTCCACCTTCCATACAGGCAGTTCCAGAACTCCATGAAGTGCTATCTTTGGGAGTCTGTGCCATGGTGCATCGCATGGTAGTAAAATCCTTTTCAAATCTCAGTAACCTCTCAGCTGAGTACTGCAGTGAATCCATCTTTTGTTAAATTCCACTCAAATACATTCATGGGAAGATTCTCTCCATCCGTGTTCCTCAAATAAGATGGAACCGGGCCGGGGATTTAGCTCAGTGGTTTCGCCGTCTGCTGCACAAGCGCAAGGACCCAAGTTTGATCCCCGGTACCAAAAAAGAAAAAAAAGATGGAACTATTTTCTTTTTGAGACAGGGTCTGACTGTGTATCCCAGGCTGACCTTACTGTGAAGCCCAGGCTGCCCTCAAACTCGAAGTGATCCTCCTGCCTCAGCTCCCGTGTGCTGGGATTACAGGAGTGTACCACCACCCCTGGCTAAAATGGAACTTTTGAGACCTGGATTTCATTTTCAGTCTGCTAGGGGTGTACTGTTTAAAGGACCCCTGTTTATCCTCATCATCTTCATCACTTGCTCTCATTTAGTAGATGCATAGCATGGCACATAACACAGTTCTTTTATGTGGCATATAATATATTTTATGCAAGTTATATAGCATTTAATCCTCACAATAAGATAGTGATTTTTTAAAAGACAGTAATTTAATTTGTTCATGGGTTCATTTCCAGGCAGGTGGTGAGTTGAGATTTAAACCCAGATCTAATTCCAAAACATGAAGTTTTTTTCTCTTATAATATGCAGCTACTGATTTATCTGTTTTATTAGATACATGGATATATATATCATTTAAAGAAATAAAACATAGCTGTGATGATTTTATGATTAGGATATTGTTTAATACTTACTAACATCTCTCAGAACTATTAGCATTCTCCAAAATAGATTTCTCTAGTTCTGTGAGATGTCAGTAACTTCCAGAGTGACTTCTGTGGTCAGTTAATATTTGATAAACATTAGGTTAAACAGGGCCAGGGATTTAGCCTGCTGCACAAGCGAAAGGACCCAAGTTTGAACCCTAGTACCAAAAAAACAAACAACAACAACAACAACAAAAAGGCATTAGGTTAAACAGATTTCTTGACCCCGGGATTTCCTAAAGCCTTTGTCTTCCAGCATGTTCTGTGACTCTCCTGGGACTTCTGCTAGCTGGGTGTCAGAATTTCTGGGTCTAAGCTTTACCCACACTCCACACTTGGTAGGGTTTATGTCATATATTTTTATCACAGTTTACTTTCTAATAATATACATATTATTTTTACATATAGGATTAAGAGGTTTATGTGAGTTGAAATACCACTCTTTCTTCCATGTTCTTTATGTCATGCACTTTACTTTGTTATAAACCCTATATTCACATTGTTATTATTTGTGCTATAAACAGTTACTTTTTAAAGAAGATTAAAAATGAGAAAATGGTATCTTCTGTATTTTCCCATGTAAACTGGCATTTCCAGCACTCTTCTTTCTTTGTGTAGATCCACATTTCCATCTAGTATTACGTGTTTTTCTTCTTGAAGAAGTTCCCTCAGTGTACCTTGAGGGCAAACCTGTAGAGAAAATAGGAGCTCCAGGCATAGTCTCTCCCAGAGTGCTTTATTGCCTCTCCTACACCTCTGTAATTAGCTTTTCCAGGGCTTATTTTTAGCTTTCTGCCTGCCTCAGCAGGGCTAACACTTAGACAGAGCCTCCTGCAGTCTGGACACCACCATGGTACCTTGCTCTGTCAGCTACTGTGCCATTGTTTCCTGCATCTTCCGTGTCTTCCTCTCTCCATCTTCTCCCTGTGGCCCTCAGTGTGTTCAAGTCTTTCATCCTAAGTCACCTTTCCCAAGTGTTCTGCCTTCTCAGGCTTTTGTTCTTTCTTCTACTCTTTATAACAGACTTTCCCGGCGTAGTCCGTACTTTTTCACTTCATTGCATTCCTTCCCTCTTACTCCACATAATTGCTTCACTAAGCTGGTCAGTGACCTTCTGGTGTCTTTGTCCAGTTATTTCCAGACTTCAGTTCAGCTGCTTGATAGTGTTTGATAAGCCCCCCCACTTCCCCAGTTCTCATCCTATTCTCTGGAAATTCTCTTTTCTTTTCCTTTACTGGTTTCTGCTTTTTCTTGCCTTAGGTGTTTGTGTTATCCAGGACTGTCATCATGATCAGCAATTTTCAGTCTCCACCTTTTTCAGGAGTGACACTGTTTAGTCCAGTGATTTCCCAGGTATAGTCCCCAGACCAGCAATGTTCCTTAGGATCTGGCTGCAAATGCAAATTCTCAGGCCTGAATCAGAAGCCCTGAGGTAGGACCCCTGTTGATTCTGATAATGTGCGAAAGTCTGAGAACCCTTCTTTTTTCTTTTTCTTTTTTTTTTTTGTCTTTGTCATGTGGCTTTAACTCTTTTGCTCTAGGCTTGACATATATATGTTAGTTTCTAGCTCCATACTTTAAAGGGGATGTTTTCACACATTATTTCCTCCCCCAAACCCACTCTTCTTTCCATGTTTCCTAGGTCAGCTAGTGATTTTATTATCCATGTAGGACCCCTAGGAAGACATCCTAGAGTCATACATTTCCTCACCTTTAAACTCTACTGTTAACAGCTCTTCTGTGTGTTTGGGGGGGGGGGTGTTTATTGGAGATTCAGCCCAGGGGTGCTCTATCCCTGAGCTACATCCTCAGCCCTTTTTATTTTTTAAAAGGAGCCCTTGCTGAGTTGCCCAGACTGGCCTCAAAGCTGTGATCCTCCGGCCTCAGGCTCCCGGGGTGCTGGGATTAGAGACATGTGCCACTGCACCCCATTTACCAACTCTTGAGATAACTGCTACATTAGTCTCAAATGCTTTGTTTCTCCTTTCTCAGCTTTTGTTCATTATCTTTTCCTGGATAGATTTCCATGAATGACCTCCCCGTCCCTTCTGCCATCCAGTTTAACCTGTCATGCTCATTTGCTGTCAAGATTTATCTTCCTAACAAAACTGATCTTGGTCCCTGCTTAGAGATAGTTAACACTAGGCATGATGGTGCATGCTTGGAATCCCAGCTACTTGAGAGGCAGAAGAATTTCAAGTTTGAGGCCAACTAAGGCAGTTTAGCAAGACTCTGCTTTAAAATAAAAAAGGGCTGAGGATGTAACTCAGGGGTCGAGCATTTGCCTACCAACATGTACAAGGCCCTGAGTTTAATCCCCAGTATCATAGAAAAAAAATTTTTTTAAAGATCACAGTTAGCTTTTTGTTTCCTAGAGAATAAGGTACAAATTATTTATCATAACATGTTGGGCCCAGTCTGCCCTGACATCTGCCTCTCCAGTCCCAGGCCCCACAGCCACCATTTCAGAGTCCCTTCTTGTTGGATCACTCAGGCGTTCTCAATCAAGCACATCCTGTGTTTCTGCAGCCTGCTCTTGAACTTACTGCTTTTCTTCTCTTTGTACAAAGTGCTGATCATTTATCCAGACCCCATTAAAATGTCACTTCTACTGCAAAGTTGATACGTAGCAGTTAGTTGCTATCT